CCCCCCGGGCTCCTCCAAGCAACTAGAGGGAGTGCCTGCTGGGGGCGCCGGCTGTTGTACTCTGGCTGCTGCCAGTGGCTGCACCTCCTCCCCCCCGCCAGCTCTGCTTCCTGCCCTTTATTCTGACTCGGCATGTTAAATCTGTTGATTATTAGTGCTCATCTTCTTATGGAGACTTTTTTTGGTGGGAAGGGGAATAATTCATAAATATTTTTCAAAGTTCATGAGCTACTTGTTCTTAAAAGACTTGATTGGTAGCTTCTCTTATATGGTTGAATGTGCTTCTGATTGAGTTTTATATTGAATTGTACTTTTAGACAGTGGTGAGACAATGGAACTGTCTGTTCCAAATATAAAATAATATAGTTGAATGTGAATTGGGTTATCTTTGTAGTATTTGAACGTTCTTCTGTATATTGATGTTTGTAGGTTTCTGTACAGTGAAAAGTCACTGAAATGATGGTATCTATTAGGGATATGAAAGTGTAACCATATAGATGGTTAACTGATGGACCTGGGCTCATCAGTTTTCTTGCATGGTCACATGCAGCCCCCTCCCTTCTCTGCTGCTGCCTCTGTATCAGACTCCTAATACAGGAGCCAGCTCTATCCCTGGGGCAGCCTGTGTTGGCTCTCTGGGACTCAGGCCCCCAGCCCTGCCCTCCTCAGGCAAATGCCCTGGTCCACTCAGGGGCCGGGCCCACCTGTATTAGGAGTATGTGCAGTTTTAAGCCAGCTCACCATGAACATTGGCTCCCAGAGAACCACCTATTCCACATATGTTTATTTAGGACCGACTTTTATAGACATTAACCTTTTTGTTTGAAACTACATAAAATACTGTTTAAGCAACATCTTTCATACCTTGCTGCAATCTTGCATAATCACAGTTCCTAAGTGTTACAGTAAAAAAAAATGTATTTTTGTTGTTTTCTTACAGTTCAACTTTGTGGGAAAACTTTTGGGTCCACGTGGAAATTCACTGAAACGTTTACAGGAGGAAACATTGACAAAAATGTCTATATTGGGAAAAGGTTCCATGAGGGACAAAGCCAAGGTAAATCAAATAGCTGAAAAAAATTAGTGCATGGTATATCATGGTATGTAGCTTCCTTTAGTCTTCCTAATAAAGTTGGGAAAGGGGAAAAAGCTAAGAATAAGAAAAAAAGAACATAAAAGAAAGCAGGTGTGGGCCAGATGCAGATATGTATATGGTTTTCCATTCATAGTCTTGGGTTCTGAAGTGAACCCTACACAGGCAAACCCGTAAGCCCATGAAGATACTCAGTTAAGTCAGTAGTGCTCAGCACAGCCTTGTGGATTTTTCCACCATGGAGCTTATCTCAGAATTGAGGACTAAGTAATGAACTTTACAGATTCCATTAATGTCTGAGGAATACTTGAATCACAGACAGATCTAAAACTTGTAACGTGTGTAGTCATTCAAAAGTATTTGAAATAAGAATATTCTATTTTAAACAAATATAGCAGTAGGAGAGAAACAGGAAGTTGAATCAAAACTAAACTGTCTCAAAGGAAGTAGAGGAAGACTTTACCACTAGCATATTATGATGGAGAGCCTTCTAGGAAAATAATTACAGATACTATAATGATGGCCATCAGAAGTGCCAAGGTAGATGGCAATGTGAACGACACTTAAGTGTGGTTGTGGGGGCTAGGTTGTCTTTTAGGAACATTTTTCTTTAATATAAGTAGTCAACATGTAACATGCATATTTCTACACAATATTGTTTGCATAGTCTATTTTTTAAAAACAACTTTTGAATGATTTTATTTGCAGCTGGTTATATGTATCATGTATAGGTTTTATGGTAGCAATTTAAAATATACGGCTTATTAGTATCTTATTAAATGCTGTGTACAATCTTCAATAAAAACACATTCTCTATCAAAAGTTCACAATTTAGTTATGTCAAGATAAAACAGATGGATGAAGCAAATGAGCGTGGGGAGATGAACAAAAGGGTGAAACCAAGTTTACTAGGAAAATATGGATTAAAATATTGTCTTTCTGGTTTGATTCTCGTATTTTGGCAAACTTTTTCCAGTCTAACTCTTATTTTCTTAGGGAGCAGATGCTTTCTTGGCATTATTTTTGTTCATTGGTTCATTCGTTTTTGTTTACCAATGTATCAGCAGGCTTCCTGGGTCAACGTTTAAATGACCTATAATTCCCTCTTCTGGCTTTAGTGTTTTTAACAAAACTAATGTTGGTCTCTACATGCATAAAAGCCATTTTGATTCATGTCATTGTAAGAGTAGTATGTTTTTGTTGTAAAGAGAAAAGCCTTAACCTGAAGATTGAAACCAATAACCATGTTTCTGAATTTGTGGGGAGGGTGTCTAAATCAGGTATTTAGTTAATGTGCATTTCTGTTTTAAGGAAAAAAATATTTTACATTCCAGATATCCAAGGTCAGGGACTGTTATATTAATACTAGCCAATAGCCCATCATAAGATGGGATTTTCGGGGGGTC